AAGGTGTTTTGATTAGAATAACTTTAGTAGGAAGTTAACACCATACTAAAATATCAACTGAATATAGATACCAAATTTCCCATAATACAATTTAATGAGATAACAATAGTTACGACAGAGATCTGAAGAAGTAAAAGGACAAATTCATGAAACGTAATCAGGAAAAATAGAAGAGAAAAAAGGCGTTTTTTTAAAAAATCAAATTATGAACAAACATTTATGTATTAGATACACCATTCTTTATTTTGGTTTTCTTTAAAAGTTCCTATAACGCGTCTTTCCTTCAATGTGAATTTTAAAATCAATATACTATTATGTTTACAAATGTCAGGACGTCTGCATTCCTGGAAACAAATGCACTGACATGACTAAAAAATTTCAATTATCAAAAATTAAATAAATCTTTAAACATGAGATATCCATTTCAAAACTTTATACAAAATAATACAGGATTTAATGGCCAAGGAAAATGGCTTCCAGAATATTATTTTCTCTCGGGTAGGAATTATTCACTGAAAACACAAGATCAAAAGAACTAACCATTTAATCCATGTTCGTTTCAGTACATTCAATACATATATTTATAAGGTTTCATAATTTTTTGATACATTCTTTCTATAGTATCATTTTTTAAAATAATAAAACACAGGAACAAGTAAGCCAATTTTTCGAGTATAAGTGGACTTGATGTTAGGTTAACTTTCAACTTGCTAATAAAAACCTAGTTTTATTTATGAATTTAATAATTATACCTACGTTTTTAATAATATACACCCAGGCTCATTATGTTACATTCACAAAGAGAACAGTTAACAATAAAATGTAAAGTTGGAAAAAAATTCCGTTAATTTTTTAAAAAATTTAAACGTTGTGAATTCAAATTTTTACACAAAACATCAAAATTTATGTAACATTTTCCTAATATCTTACAGTACAGCATTACTCAGAAGGGAACAATAAATTATCATATTTTGTTTAGTTGTAAAAAAAAATAAATTAAACTATAAAGTACAAAAAGTATCTTTAAATTTTAAGTCACCAACATTTCAACAAATCAAATGCAGCATAAAAAAATTGTCAAAACAGATATTAAGTACTACGCTTTTTTTTTTACAATGCCAATTTTAAAGATAGAGATACTTTAAAAGAAATAAAACTTAAATAACAAACATGTAAAAAACCTGTTATGTATGATTTTATTTTTTCAGTTTTTACAATCTGTGAGAAAAAACATTTCAGAATATAAATAAGGTAAATATATTGTAAAATACTAGCTAATAGATAAATGCCAATAACTTTACCGAATAATGCAAGGCTTCATAGATTAGTTTAAATAATTTTATCAGTATTACACTAATATTTATTACTGCCCTTTAGGTACTTGAAGAGTTGTCTGAGAAATCTTCTTTGAGACAGTGGAGATCTCCTCATCAGAGCTCTCATCATCACTAATTTGTCTTGGTGAGAGACAACATCCCTTGGATATGTAATTATTTAACTTGCCACAAGAAGCAAGAACAAGACCCAAGTATGGAGGGGAGGGACGTAGAGGATTCGAGATGTACTCAGGGTGGAACTGAACACCCACAAAATAAGGATGACCTAGAAAATAATCAAAAGGAAGTATTTCAAGCTAGTTCAAAAAGCAGATGGATTTATTGTAGCTTTTGCTGACCAATGATGTTGAAACCTGTTTAATAACAAGCATCAAGGTTGTTGATTTATTGAAAAGAATCCACAAATACTAATAAATTTCATTCTCAGGTCAGCTACATTATAAGAGTTCTGATATCATTATTCTAAGAAAAAAATTTAATTTTAATTCTGAACTATTTTCCATTCATTTTCCTCCCCTTTTAATCTTCACAAATGAAAAATATAAATTTCAATAAATAACACTGCATGATGAGAAATAAATTCTTAATTTACCTGGCATTTCTTTGGAAATCAAACACCTGTATAAGAATGCTCAAAAGTAATTTTAAGTAACAAAACTTTTATTATCACATTTATGTCTTTGTAACTACATGTACACTTGGAAAAAAATTTAAATAACTTAACAATATTTGAAACATACACATATATATAAATTGATTAAAAAGTGAACCTAATGCAGTAGAAAGTTTTTTTTGTGATGGAGTTTTGGAAATAC